TCCTTATAGGTCCTTTAGTTCCCATGTCTATCTAAATGCAATTGAAGCTCCTTGAGGAGTACCAGATAAATTTAAAGCCTGAGATCAAACAGCTGTAAGATTTGAGCCAATGCTGTTTTGGTAGGTAATAATAAGAATTTATACTGAATAAACTACATTCATTACAACCAACAGCAGTTTACTCACTATACTAAAAATGCTGTCAAAAGAATAGCTGAACAATTAAGATCCACTAGCCAAATGGCCTGGGAAAACAGAATAGCCCTAGATACGATACTAGCACAGAAAAGTGGTGTTTATGTAATAATTAAAACCCAGTGTTGTACCTTTATTCCAAACAACACTGTTTCCAATGGGAGCATTACAAAAGCCCTCCAAGGACTTACTGCTTTATCAAATAAGTTAGCTATAAATTCTGGCATCAATAATCCTGTTTCAAATTGGCTCGAAAGGTGGTTTGGTCAACTAAAATAAAAAATAATAATAACCTCAATTCTTACCTCTCTAGCAACTATGATAAATATACTTCTTCTCGTTAGATGTCATGTCATACCACACATCCAAGAGGCTAGTAAACACAACTCTTATTAAAATGTCCCCAACCCCTCCTCCACCCTATTCAAATAATATTACTTTTTTTCCCTTCTTTTGCTTCATTTGGTAGACAAAGGTATAGATTACTTCTTTAGAAGAACAAACAACAAAGACATGTTAAATAAATTTGAAGAGGAATTAAAAAATATAAAAAGGTAGGAATTGTAGGAAAAAAGACTAAATAAAAGGTTCCTCTTCAAAGCTTTCCGCTTAGTTCATTTCGAACAAATAATGGTTTGTTCAAAGTTTAGTTTACTTTAAAGCTTTTGCTAATAATCTTAAAGTAGCTGTTAGTCATAATAAAGAGATAAAGTATCCTGTGTTCTTAGTTCTTACACTTTAACCTAGATATTTGCCCTGACATGCCTGGACAAGCCCAGGCAAGACTTTGGGCATAGCTTATTTCCCTTCCATATTTGGAAATGTTAATTGCTTCTCTAAGCATTCCTCTTTTCCGTTGTTCTCCTCTGCCTTTACCTCTTTAGAAAAATTTTGTTAGCCAGCGGGGTGCAGCCTAAACTGTGAAGTCCACTTCCAGCCAATAAAATCAGGACACAGCAGTAGGGCGGATGTGTTAGATATAAATGGCCCTGCCTCCTTTGTTAAGTGTCCCTTCCTGGCAAAATGGCAAACTGGAGCACCCTTTCTGCAGAAAGTAAAGTTGCCTTGCTGAAAACTAAATTTATATTCAAGTGTTACTTCTTTAATGGCAGTGAAAATTTACATGTAACAGAGAGGTTGTAGTGAGCCGAGATCACACCACTGCACTCCAGCCTGGGCAACAGAGTGAGACTTCATCTCAAAAAAAAAGAAAAGAAAAGAAAAAGGCATAACTATTACCTATATAGTTGGATTTTTTTTTCACAATAAAGAATGGGAGTGCCCTTTCCACAATATGGCACCAAAAGATACGGAGGAAGCTCCTGCCCCTCCTAACGCCCAGGCCAAAGGGAAGGCTTTGAAGGGTAAGAAGGCAGTACTGAAAGGTGTCCACAGCCACAAAAAAAAGACCTGCATGTCACCACCTTCCCACAGCTCAAGACACTGTGACTCTGGAGGCAGCCCAAATATCCTCGGAAGAGCACCCCTAGGAGAAACAAGCTTCACCACTATGCTATCATCAAGTTTCCTCTGACCACTGAGTCAGCCATGAAGAAGACAGAAGACAACAACACACCTGTGTTCATTGTGATGTTAAAGCCAACAAGCACAAGATCAAACAAACTGTGAAGAAGCTCTGTGAGAGTGATATGGCCAAGGTCAATGCCCTGATTAGGCATTAGGCACGATGGAGGAACAAGGTGTAAGTTTCTTTTTTTTTTTTAGAAGGTGTAAGTTTCACTGGCTCTTGATTACAATGCTTTAGATCTTGCCAATAAAATTAGGATCATCTAGACTGAGTCCAGCCGGCTAATTCTAAATATATGTATCTTTTCACCAGATACATGCCACTTCATCAACTTCTGGTTGGAGGCCATTCACAGGTACAGGGGTTGTAATAGGGTCTGGGCAAGACTCCTGTTCTACTTATCCTTTTGGAACACTCAGCCTGACACTCCACCATGCTCACTCACTCCAGAGATCTTTGTGACTACAGTTAGTTGTCCTGGGAAAACCAGAACTTGTCTCCATGGTAGACGTAAGAAAACAAGAAGCTGTCGGGTGCAGTGGCTCACACTTGGCACTCTGGGAGGCCAGGAGTTTGAGACCAACCTGGCCAACATGGTGAAACCCCATCTCCACTTAAAATACAAAAATTAGCTGGGCGTGATGGCACACACCTGTAGTTGCCGCCACTCAGAAGGCTGAGGCAGAAGAACCACTTGAACCTAGGAGGCGGAGGTTTCGGTGAGCTGAGATCATGCCACTGCGGTCCAGCCAGGGCAACAGAGGGAGATTCCTTCTCAAAAGAAAAAAAAAGAAAAGAAAGAAAGAAAGAAAAGAAGAAGCTTTTCAAGAACTCATTTTATCCCTGGAGGAGGCTATGTGTGAAACCAATGCCCAGAGTTTGAAGGACATTAGCATCCATTTCAAGGGAGTGTGGGTTGGCTGGCTTTCCAGCAGCACTTTGACCTCACACACCCATTTACTATGTCCAGCTGGTCTGTCTGCTTCCCTCGGCCTTTACCCAATAATGGACAAAAACTTTAATTAAAAAAAAAAAAAAAAAAAAAAAAAAAAAAAAAAAAAAGGCCGGGCATGGTAGCTCACACCTGTAATCCTAGCACTTTGGGAGGCTGAGGTAGGTGGATCACCTGAGGTCAGGAGTTCAAAACCAGCCTGGCCATCATGGTGAAACCCCATCTTTAAAAAAAAAAAAAAAGTAGGCGTAAGGGGAACAAGGGGTATCTTTTTATTTTTTTGAGACAGTCTTGGTCGTCTACCAGGCTGTAGTGCACCATCTCGGCTCACTGCAACATGCATCTCTGGTGTTCAAGCAATTCTCCTGCCTCAGCCTCCCTAGCAGCTGGGATTACACGTGTGCTCCACTATGCCTAGCTATTTTTTGTATTTTCACTTGAGACAGGATTTCACCATGCTGGCCAGGCTGGTCTCGAACTCCTGACGTCAGGTGATCCTCCCACCTTGGCCTCCCAAAGGGCTGTGATTACAGTGGGTGAGCTACAGTGCCCAGCCTTTTCTTTCTTTTTTTTTTTGAAATGGGGTCTTGCTCTGTTGCCCAGACTGAAGTGTACTGGTCTGATCTGAGCTCACTAAGACCTTGATCTCCCATCCTTAATTGATCCTCCCACCTCAGCCTCTGGAGTAGCTGGGACCACAGGTGGCACCAAAAGATAAGGAGGAAGCTCCTGCCCCTCCTAATGCCCAAAGGGCCACCCTGCCTGGCTAATTTTTTTTTTTTTTTTAAATTATTATTTGTAGAGATGAAGTCTCATTATGTTGCCCAGGCTGGTCTCCAACTCCTGGCCTCAAAGGATCCTTCTGCCTTGCCCTCTCATAGTGCTGGGATCACTTCTTTGATGCTTAGTCAAGAACACTAAGAAGAACTTCTGAGAAGAAACTTCAGTTTACCCTTGGCGTTTTTATGTGTGCTCTTACATTTTTTTTTCTTCTGTTGTACAGAGGTATTACTCACCTTGGGCAGTCTCAGCTCTCCACCCAGGCACAAGCAGCTCTTAATCACCCTTAAGTTCAGCAGCCACTGCAAGCTAGCCTGAGGAGATAAAGTCCACACTCGACATAGTTCTCTACATTCCTGCAATATCACACAGGCACATTCACTTTCAAAATGCAGAATAGTATGGTTTGCATTTTTCTGCCAGTCTTATCTGCATTTAGAACCTGTGGTGGTGTTTTCTTTTCTGCCAAGATATCACCAGAGACGACCTATTTTTTTGTAACCCCTGGCACACCCCAGGAGGACTTTTATAGAGAAATCTTTTTGTCCAATTACACATGGTTGAATTTTACTTCGATCTGCCTTTACTTACTTCTTGAAACGACTAATTTCATCCTGCAGTTTAAAAAGCAAAATCGGTAAGAAACTCTGAATCACAACTTTATGCTCTTTGGTAGTTATTCTAGTGTTAAAAAACAATGCAAATTTAGACGAGAACCGTGTGTACCGGGGGCTGTGATACCATTTTAAAAGTAAATGAGAACACAGTACACAATACAGTGCTGCCATTAATATTCAATACCTACAGTACACACTTCAAATTACAGTTTAGCTTCTTCGCTACCAGGCTTCTAGCGCCATAGGCGGTGAGCATACCAGTGCTTCTTGCCTGTGATTGAGTTGGCTACGAGAGTCCACCAATGGGTCTGCAGGATCCCATTTAGTTTTAGTAACTGTGGCTGGTGTCCAGGAATGTGTTCATGCGATCTTAAAGTCAGCCTCTGACTTAGGACAGCGCAGGGAACCAATTTGGTCTTAGGAGTGCCCCCGCAGAGTGTTTGACTCCTGAGGCAGTGCAGGGCAGACGAGACACGAAGAAGGCAGCGTGCCCCCAGGCCCTTCCTTTACCAAGATGGCTTCGGCGTCCCGACCCACGGGGGCGGCCATCTTGGTAAGAGCCGGAGAGGCAGCCTGAGGGAGGCCGCCGCTGGCCCGGTTGTCAGATTCAAAGGTCACAATAAGTAAGTGACCCGGTGACGACTTGCCCCAAGAATGGCGAGGCGGCGAGCGCTGAAGCGCTGCCTGCAGCTGCTGGCGCCCTCGGCGGAACTGGCGCGGCGGGCCCGCGGGCGGGGGAACCCGGGCACCAGCCGCCGCTGCCCTTCCAGCTACGTTGGGGTGGTGTGCGGTGCGAAACTGTGCCCGGGGACTCAGAGGCCGGAAGCCGAAGAACAGCGGCGGCGACGGCGCGCGCGCCCGGCCACCCCCAACGCAACGTGAGTCCGCGCCCCCGCGCTCTCACCCCGCCCCTCTACCGCGCGCCCGCGTACCGGGATCCCGAGTGCCCTAGAACTCTGCGGTGGCTGTGGGACCTCTCGGGAGGCAGTTTTCTCCCGACCGCTGTGCTCTGTGGCGTCTCCGCTGCCACCTCCAGGGTCTCTGGGCGGAGCAGTCCGCACTTTGGAGCCTGGGGTGGTTTGGTATTCTTTGGCGAAGTGAAGCGGGCTGTGAGTGGGTTTCCCGGTCCCCGAGCCCTTCCTCGTCCCCGAGATGCCGCACTTGTGAGCGATAGAGCTTCATTTAAATTTTCTCACCTCGCGAGTTGGGGAGCCTGCGTCTCTGAAGCTGCCTGAGTGAAGAGCCACAGCATTATTTTTTCTCTTTGGGAGAGCAGCTGTCTGGGATTTGTTTGAGATCCCATCTTCCCTGCAAATTACCAGGTTGCATCTTCACTGATAGGAATACATGTGGGTGTATCTTTTAGTTGTATGCAAATAAATGGGTCGACAACTTCCTCCGAGCAACTTACTGTTGCTTCATCTATAGTATTTATCTTCTAAAAATCCGTTCCAACAGGTTTCTTCTCTTTTATTTTGGAATAAGTGTACTTATTTAACTATGGAATGGAAATGAAGAGCAAAAAAAAAAAAAAAAAATGGAGCTAGGTAGGGGAGGGGTGGTGGAAGGCTGTAATTTCTTAAGTTTTCTATTCTGTGGTTGTTTGCTTCTTATAAATTGGATATTATCACAGGCTTTGCAGAGCACGTATTCAGATAGCTTTTTGTTGTTGTTGTTAATTTTTTTTTTTTTCCAGGCTAGAACTCTATATGGTTCTGGTAGTTGAGGTAAATACTCTTCCATGAGTTCTGGAATCTCATGCATTTATTATACTTAAGTTAAACCAGGAAAATATTAAGGGAGTGAGAAAAGTTAACAATCTTTTAAAAAGTCATTTCGTTCTTGTCTTTGCCTTTAATGTAAGTTGTTTTATATATATATATATATATATATGTTATAATATGACTGACTCACCTGGTTGACTGTGGCTTAGCATGAAATGTTTGTTGCTTGATAATTCCGGATAATTAATTTGTCCGGGAAACCATTCCTGAGATGCAGTTTAGCAAACTGAAATAATTTCCATGTTTGTTAAAAAATGGAAATCTCTAACAGTTCCATGTCTATTTTCAGTTACATTGGTTAGGAATTAGCCGCAGACATGTACATCGTTTAGAAAAAGTTATGTAATCTTTAACAAGAAAAGATTAACTATATCCCACAATAGTGTGATTTTTGTTGCAAGAAAATACTAGGTCTGTTAAAGAAGAAATTTAGAGTAAAAGCACTTATTTAAAATAAGAGAGAGATTGAGGGGTTAAAATTGTTTTAAGTGAACTGAAAATATAGTCAGGATTTTCAGAGATTTTGTTAACATTCTGAAGGCTTTCCTGCTACAAGAATAATGGTAAGTCTCCAAGAGATAAAAATACTTAGTTTATTTCTCATACCCGTATTTTCACTCATAATTCCAAATTATACTGTAGAAATTCTATATTGCAAAATTCTAATTTTAAAATTAGTCCAGTTATAACTATATGAAGACCATTTTAGCATAAGCATTCCATCACAGGGTTTTGGTTATGCTTGAGTTGATACAGTCATCCTTATGTTTGTTCAAAAGGGATATTATGTTAGTTGAGTATTTGTGAGTTTGGAAAACTGAGGGAATTTTTTTGGACATTTAGTCTGTGTTTGGAAAAGCAGCATTTACCTTTAATTTTGTTTCATTCTGCTTTTTCTTTGTAGTGATGGATAGCTGTGGATGTAGTGGGTTTTTCCATTGTTTTCTATGCTTTATAAATAAGACTATAGTGATAGTTGGAGGACTGTTGATCTGGGCTTTTTAGGTTGAAATGCATACACATAAAAAGTGTTTTCATGGAAGTATTATTAGGGAAATTAGCTGTGTATATAATTAATCATTAAAGAATACTTTTATTCTGGAGGCCTGTGAGGGCATGCATAAAACTGGCATTAAAAGAATCACCCATGTGATTTCCAGCATAAGGTACAAGTAATATATCATTCTAACACCTATACTACTGAAGAATTCTGTCTATAATTTATAGTGCTTTGCTTGACTTGTCTTTTGAATTTAATAACCATTTATTGTGTATTTAAGTATTTTTACTAACAGACTTTGGAGACAGATAACATATGAACTCATATATCCCCAGGGGCAGTTTTATGTTAGAGATATTGTCTTCTGCCAGCTCAGCTGGTTAAATAATGTGTTACATCTTTATCATTTACGAAGCTCTTTCAAGTATTTTAAATATATGTATATATAGAGAGTTTGATTTTATAGACATAAAATATGTGAGATTATTAGCCCTGTTCCACAGATGAGGAAAATAGGACACTGAGAGCCTGGGAGAGTCTGGTGATTTGGCCAGGGTCCCTTAGCTCAGCAGCCCCAGCCTTCAGCAGAATGTGTGCACTGCAGACTCTTACTACACTGGGATGCCAATGAAACGAAAGTGGAGGGGTGTGGATGAGCAAGTGTTGGTCAGCAACACACTCATAGATTGCATCCCTGTCTCTAGGTAACAGGTTGTGAATGGTCAGTGCTGTTGGCTATGGAAGCACAGGTCTGGCATATAGATGGATCAGCATAATTCAAAATCTTGATTGAAAAACATGTCAGTTTGAGCCTGCTATCTAGAGCAATCGTTTTTCCCCTTGAAGGCATAGACTCTTGTGTTTATCTAATTTGGGTACCTTCCCAGATTAAGGGACAGTAATATATTGATTGAACAATGAATGCCTGTAGACTTCTGTGTACTTTTGTAATCTCTCTCAGTTGCAAGAATGAATAAAGAAACACCAAGCTTTCACATTTTTTTTTTTTTTTTGAGACGGAGTTGCGCTCTGTCACCCAAGCTGGAGTGCAACGAGGCAATCTCAGCTCACTGCAACCTCTGCCTCCTGTGTTCAGGTGATTCTCATGCCTCAGCCTCCCAAGTAGTTGGGATTACAGGCTTGCCACCATGCCCGGCTAAAACTGGTCACATTTTTTTTTTTTTTTAAATAAAGACGGGGTTTCACTATGTTGGTAAGGATGGTCTTGAACTCCCAACCTCAGGTGATCTGCCCGCCTTGGCCTCCAAAGTGCTTGGATTACAAGCATGAGCCACCACGCCCGGCCAAAACTGGTCACATATTAATAGGGCAGCTGGATAACAGCAGTCTTTGTTTTGAAAGTAGTTATAGGCCGGGTGCTGTGGCTCACGCCTGTAATCCTAGCACTTTGGGAGGCTGAGGCGGGTGGATCACGAGGTCAAGAGATCGAGACCATTCTGGTTAACATGGTGAAACCCCGTCTCTACTAAAAATACAAAAATTAGCTGGGCATGGTGACGCACGCCTGTAATCTCAGCTACTTAGGAGGCTGAGGCAGGAGAATTGCTTGAATCCAGGAGGCGGAGGTTGCGGTGAGCGGAGATTGCGCCATTGCACTCCAGCCTGGGTAACAAGAGTGAAACTCCGTCTCAAAAAAAAAAAAAAAAAAAAAAAGAAAGTAAGAAAGAAAGTAGTTATTTTCTGTGTTTTGAAGGTCTTTCAATTGCAAAGATGCTTCCTGTTCAAGTTACTGTTTGTGTTCCTTTAGTTTGTTTAGAGAACTCATGAAAAGCTCTGTAAACTAAGCTGTCTGTATAGTGTGAACGTGTGTGTGTGTGTGTGTGTGTGTGTGTGTGTGTGTGTGTTTGTTTTCCAGAATGTTATTTTATGGTTAAAGTAACCAATGAAAACTTAAAGAGTTTCTGGACTCAAGTTTTTTTTTTTTTTTAAACTTGAACCCAAACTAAGTAAAATACCCCACATAAAGTAAAATGTGTCATTTATCTTCCCGTGCTGATTGTATGCTCTTTTGGTTCCAAGTGTTTCTAAGCATAATTAAGGCGACAGCATGGCTGATAGATAGTCCAGGCGCCATCATCAGCCAGAGCTAGATCCTTGGAATGTCATGTAACTCTCTGGCCTGACTTGCTTTACCTATTAGGTAAAAGGATCACACAAGTGATGATTTCTGTCATGGACTATTCAGGTTGGAAGGGGCATTAGAGGGCATGTACCTGGTCCGATCTCTTTAACGTGAAGATTTTTATTTCTGCTTTCACAGGAGTTTAGCCTGTCATGATTACCTCAAAACTGAAACATCAAAATTAGGCTTTTCACCATTTCACAGATATGAATTACTTTACAATTCTTGGCTGACAGTTGATTCCTTTCTCAGTCTTTCCTCATATAGTGTCTCACTTTTATATGGAGACTAAATACCCATTGTATATAAATGTGCATGTGCTGTTTGAAGCCTGTTTTTTTGCTGGGTGAATGCTAATACTGATGCACACATTGAATATCATCAGAATGAAGAATTTGATCTAATAAACTTTTTTTGGTATTCTTAGCAACATTGTTTTAGGTAAGCCTGATTATGTAGAGCATTATACATATATATATGTGTGTGTGTGTGTGTATATATATATATATATATATATATATATATATATGTATATATGTGTGTGTGTGTATATATATATGTATGTATATATGTATAGCTTAGCCACCTGGATACCTCCACATCTTATTTTATAATCTTCATCTTCAATTTAGTTTGAACTGCCCATCCATTTATAAATTTTGTTGAAGATATGAGTATGCATTTATATGGTAACCTGAGGCATAGAATGATCCACCCTCCAGGTTTTCCCAGAAGCAAGGGAGTTCCCAAGATGCAGGAATTTTTTTTTTTTTTTTGAAGACAGACTCTCTGTCACCCAGGCTGGAGTGCAGTGACGGGTTCTCAGCCCATCGCAACATCCACCTCCTGGGTTCGACCAATTCTTGTGCTAAGCCTCCTGAGTAGCTGGGACTACAGGCGTGCACTACCATGCCTGGCTAATTTTTGTATTTTTAGTAGAGGCAGGGATTCACCATATTGGCCAAGCTGGTCTCGAACTCCTGGCCTCAAATGATGTGCCTGCTTCAGCCTCCCAAAGTGCTAGGATTACAGACGTGAGCCACCACGCGTGGCCTAGATGCAGGACTTTAAATGTTAACACTGGGAAATCCTCAGGCAAACCAGGTATGTTGGTCCTCCCACCTGACAGTGTCTGTTTATTGGACTTGATTAGCCATTCTCCCCAGCTTGAAAGATAACATGGTAGGTGGTTTTATGCTGTATAAACTCACCTTTTGAAAGCAAAGGAAATCTTCAAGGTACCATGTATATTTTCTGTTTATGTGACTAAACTATAGAACCAATTATTTCTTGATGTTTCTTACCAATATAACTGTAAATTAGAAAAATTGAGGAATAAGGCCAGGCTCAGTGGTTCATGACTGTAATCCCAGTACTTTGGGAGGCCGAGGCAGGCAGATTGCCTGAGGTTGAGAGTTCGAG